ATAGCTCGCTAGCAGCCTCGCACAGATGACCTAGTTGATGTCATCATTTACCCAGAATGCTTTATGTGTAAATAAAATGGCCCCGTCCGTGTAATACATTTTTAAACTTAAAAATKATAAATACTRAACATCCTACAGTATTTWTACAGTCTTTATGTTACACTTAAAATAAATGTTTATCAAATAAAGTCTAATGTTACAACTAATCAGGGATCCCTTTAATGTTTAATGTAATCCCTGAAATGTTTTTACACTCCCCAAATGTTTTACTTTATGTTTCAGGTTGTGATCAATCCAAATCACGAAGTGGCTGAGAGCGACTTCACCAACAACGCCATGAAATGTAACTGCAAATATGACGGGCATCGGATCTGGTTCCATAACTGCCACATTGGTAAGCAGTCAGAAACACAACTATCCAGTTATATTTAACACATGTTCCTAAAACCGTACAACTTCTTTTGTTCACAATCCCCTGCAGGTGATGCCCTCAGTGAGGAGGCAGAGAGGAGGTTTGAAAAATATCCTGGACAGTTGAACAACAGGATTTCCTAATCAACAACCTTTGACTTAACAACATGACAAAGTGCTGATTGAAACAGAAACCAAACTAGCTCAGGCAAAAAGACAAAACTCTGTTTTTAGGTGCTGAAATGATTTCCTACCACATTATTTTTATTTAGTATGTTTTGTTAATATACTTGAAGTGGAGCATTGGGTTTCTCTTACCAGCACGAGCTTCTTCTTTTTTTAAATTTAGATTTTATAAAGCCATACAGTCTGTGTATGACAAATGTACAGCTATCTTTTTTTTTTGCATTTTAGATCCTGAATGAAGCTGTAGTTTTTTTAATTTTCAAATATAAGCCCAATTCCAAAAGGTTGAGATGTTTAAAATTAAACAAAAACAGAATACAATAATTTACAATTCTCATTAACCCATATTTTCTTCACAATGCAACATAGTACACATAAAATAAGTGGTACAAATAAAAAACAGATGGAGGAGCATTTTGTAATTAGGTTCATTGGCATCAGGTCAATGAAAGTATTGGAGATAAAGAAAAAGAGCAAAAGGCAGAGGTTCAGCAGTCTGTGAAAAACTGCCTAATAGTGGAACCTGCCAGAATAATGCTAAAAACTAGACAACTTTGAATATCATCTTCTGTTTATTTAAAAAAGCTTAAGAATTTGGAGAAATCTCCAAGCTTTTGGGCTCTGTAACACTTCCACAAATCCTTATCCACAAACAGTTCACTGTGCCATCCACAAATGCAGGTTAAAGGCACAGTGTGTAGGATTTGTTGTTTTCAGTGACATCTAGTGGTTGAGTGGTTGAATCATCCTCCCTGGTCCTCCCCCCACCCCCACCCCCCACTTCCAAACACAAAGGAGTTTCTACGGTGTCTCTCAGG